CACTTGTTCACCATCATGACCCCAACCTGTAGACAGGAGGAGGTAACTCTATCAAGCATTTTGACAGAATTATGCCCCTTTTTCGACTTAGAATTTACATTAAAGTTTTTGTAATAGTTCAAATATTTTCAAAGTCCATTGACATATGGCTTTGAAACTTTGCACACTTGTTCACCATCATGACCCCAACCAGTAGACAGGAGGAAGTAACTCTATCAAGCATTTTGACAGAATTATGCCCCTTTTTCGACTTAGAATTTACGTTAAAGTTTTTGTAATAGTTCAAATATTTTCAAAGTCCATTGACATATGGCTTTGAAACTTTGCACACTTGTTCACCATCATGACCCCAACCTGTAGACAGGAGGAGGTAACTCTTTCAAGCATTTTGACAGAATTATGCCCCTTTTTCGACTTAGAATTTACGTTAAAGTTTTTGTAATAGTTCAAATATTTTCAAAGTCAATTGACATATGGCTTTGAAACTTTGCACACTTGTTCACCATCATGACCCCAACCTGTAGACAGGAGGAGGTAACTCTATCAAGCATTTTGACAGAATTATGCCCCTTTTTCGACTTAGAATTTACGTTAAAGTTTTTGTAATAGTTCAAATATTTTCAAAGTCCATTGACATATGGCTTTGAAACTTTGCACACTTGTTCAACATCATGACCCCAATCTGTAAACAGTAGGAGGTAAGTCTATCAAGCATTTTGACAGAATTATGCCCCTTTTTCAACTTAGAATTTACGTTAAAGTTTTTGTAATAGTTCAAATATTTTCAAAGTCCATTGACATATGGCTTTGAAACTTTGCACACTTGTTCACCATCATGACCCCAACCTGTAAACAGGAGGAGGTAACTGTATCAAGCATTTTTTTTACTATCAAGCACTAAGAATAGTCGAGCGTTGCTGTCCTACCGACAGCTCTTGTTGAGGATTACAGCTCATCATATGAATTTCTTTTAAGTAAAGCTAATATGCCAACTTTACATATCAGTCGATTAAGACAATTAGCCATTGAAGTTTTTAAATGTTTACAAAATATATCACCAAAATATGTTCAAGAACTTATTACAGTAAATTCCTCTTAAATTACTCTTTTAGAAATAACAACACACTTGAAGTTCCTAGAGTAAATACAGAGACTTATGGTAAGAAAAGCTTTCGCTATGAGGCCACCCAGGTCTGGAATAGCCTCCCGAATGAACTAAGAACAGAAACTGTTTACGGTGAATTTCGGAGGCTTATCCAAACCTGGAGTGGCTTCAAATGCAAATGTTCTATGTGTGCCTAAGTGTTATGTTTTTTGTTGAGTTTTGAAATGTGAATCAAGTGAATCTGCATGCTTCTTTTGTTTCTTCTTTTGTTTTTTCTGTATTCTTGTCTGCCATAAAGTAATGCTGTATAAGACCTGTTTTTATCATGTAATGCTTTTCATGTGCTTCTTGTGTGTATATTTGTATAGTCATTTGTCAGTGCATGTTAGTGTTTGTATGTATGGCAGCTGCTGATCAGCTTTTCATATATCCCATTAAGGGGACAATAGCTTCTTAAAGTCTATCTTTTACCTTTTTATTTCTACTTTTATTTTATTTTGGTTCTAATTAATTAATTAATTAATTAACTTAGACCTGAATTTATCTAGGCCAGCTCAGATCAGCAACTGTTACACAAACATTTCAAGTTTTATTATTATACTTGTACATGTTTTAGTTACACCCATATTTTCATGATTGAGTATATATCAGATGCTGCTACTGATATATTCTCAAGCATCATACTGGAAATTAGGTCAACTATATTAAAATAAAATAGAATTGAATCATTTACTTTAATTTATTTTAAAAATTCAAATTTTAAAAATTCTAATTCTATTTCTGATTTTAGGGTTGTGTACATAAATAGAATTCTTGTACATATGTAATTTTATGTGATGTTTGATTGTTATGGTGGCATATTTCTTCCACCTGATAACCTGATAACTAACTAGTTAATTAAGAGGTTAACTAGTTACGTAACTAGTTAACCTCTTAATTAACTAGTTAGTTATCAGGTTAACTAGTTACGTAACTAGTTTTTTTTTCAATAAATAAAAGATCAGATCATAACGGGAAATAAATGCATGTTAGTGCCTGCAACTGCCATCCTTTTAATATATTATCAGCTTAAAATTAAGAGGTTAACTAGTTACGTAGCTAGTTAACCTCTTAATTAACTAGTTAATTAATAGGTTAACTAGTTACGTAAATACCTAACTAGTTAACCTCTTAATTATCTAGTTAGTTAAGAGGTTAACTAGTTACGTAAATACTTAACTAGTTAACCTATTAATTAACTAGTAAATTAAGAGGTTAACTAGTTACGTATTTAAGTAACTAGTTAACCTCTTAACAAACTAGATAATTAAGTGGTTAACTAGCTAGTTACATAACTAGTTAACCTGTTATCAATTATCTATAAATAGATATTGCATAATATTTGGAATACCCGTACTGTACCATAATCCTTCTTCCGCATATGCGCGGGGTATGACTAAAATACGAAAATAGGGTTATATTCGCGAAAATAGCATTTTGACTAAATACGAAAAGCTAGGTTATTTATAGAGCTGTCATCGATATCGACAATATCGATGTATCATTGATATTTTTTTGCCGATCAATAATCGATACACATTCTAAAAAATCGATACTTTTGACTAATAAATTAAATGTCTAGAAATTATAAAATTCACCCAAAATATATACAGAAGCAGTTATTTATATCTAATGTTATGCTTTTGTTATATAGTTGAATTATTTCATAGCAATGGTGACAAAAATATTTTCTAGAAAAAATCATGCAGTGGACAAGACACTGTACAGAACATGTTTTTGACTGAAATCATTGAAACAGGTATGAAAGTGAATGACAGAAAAGTGAGTATAGGATATTATCGATATATCGGTGTATCGTTGATTTTAGTCACTTGATATCGATATATCGTTGATATGCTTTGCACTGAATCAATGACAGCTCTAGTTATTTATGATGAAAATAAAATTTTGATACAAATCTGAAAATATGGTAAGTTTTAGGTAGATAATTTTAGCGTGTTTTAATAAAATAAGGTAATTTTCGCGAAAATAATATTTTGAGAAAAATCTGATAAAAGGGTTAGTCATGCCGAAAATAACACTATTATTTCCCTTTAAGAAATCCTGGTATCGATAGGCCCGGTATCAATGTCCCCAACAATCAACCCATGGCTTTTGATATTGTTTTAAATGCATGCATATGTTTATAAATTTTCTCTTTCATTTATATGCTTTATATGCAATAAATCATGCTTAGAAATAATTATTACTATGTCACATGATATATTTATAAGCTAAATTAAACTTATCATGTAAAAAGAAACGTTATGTTTACGTTTCTTAATAAATATGTTTGAGTCTTGAATCTTTGACTATGTTACACAAATACAATAGTCTGATTGAACGAAGAATAGTATGTTTAACATGTATATATATGTTGACCGTCCCCTTAATATTCACAATTTTAACAAATTGAAAGTCTTGAAAACAGTACATTATTATTTGATATATAACTGACTTTTGTTTTTAATGTGATATTTGAATAGAAATAATGTATTTGAATTACAAATGTAACACCCGTGTTGATCTTCAAAACGCCGACGTGCTTATTCGTTCTTTCTTGGTAAGTTGAAGTATTATATAGATCTTATATGTTTGTAAAAAAGGAAAGGAAAAATCCAATTTCGTTGTCTGTCAAGTCTTTAAAACATGTTTTCTATTATATATTTCTTATATGCTTACTTCAGGCATGAGCGGCAAGATATTCCCTTGTTTATTGCACTTGTCTCACAGCATCGGGTCAATTTCCTGTGTATCTGTTTATTTGTCCAGTGCCTTTGAAAGTTTAGACTTTCAGTTGTGATAATTTTATTGTCTGACTTATACATATCCAATTCTTATATAAACAAATTACATGCCTAAATGAAACGTAATCGGGCCTTAAAGTAAATAATTGTACTGACCCATGAAAAGCATGTTATAAAACATAAACTAATCAAATGGTTTATTGATGTATCTTATTATAACCACCAACCCTGTGGCACCTGTCCATTAAAAAATTGAAAGTTTTGAAAATTACTTTACAACATTCCATGTCCTCGTCGATACACAAATCATTACCTAAACAGGAAGATATACAAATACATTAAGAAATGAATAATGGTGTAAACATGCAATGTTATATTTGTTTGTAACAGAATATCTTTCTCTTTTAGTATGTCCAAAAACATAGAACTAAGAAAAACACAACATATTTTGTCAATAATAAAAAAGACACTTTAATCATATAAAATTCTTCGTAATATTAGGTAACTGCTATATTGCTAAACAAATCTCGGTGAAGCATAATACTTTTTGTACATAGAACATTCTATAAAAACTTGTAATTATGTAAAATAAATGTTGCTTTACACATTGTACTCTTTTATGCAATTAAAGAATGGAATGAAGGGACCATTCCAACACTGACACTTGTACATCCATGAATTGGCAACACGTGCGACACGTGTCATAAAGGGGCTTCATAACACCTTTAATTTAGGTACTTCTGATATTGCAGTCGAGTTTACTGCACAAACGTCAAACTTTATTACACACATTGAGAAATGACAAATCAAAAGAAAGTAAATCATCATCTTCATGGATCAGGGTGTTGTGTATAACTCTGTTATTCATTGGTCAGAATGTATTACTGATAAGCCCCGCCTACTAACCATATCTTAGCATGCCACGCTCTGTATCAAATCAGTTAATAAACGATAGTTCAGCATTAAAGACGTGTTACTTCTCTATAGAAAACATAACAATCTGGCGACGAGGATAATTGAACATTAAATTTCGTGGATTTTATCTATTAGATATTAATGTTATTATCATAATATGTGTAAAATTCTGGATTTAATTTATAAGTGTTAAAATGGCTGCATTAATTGGACATTTATCTGGATTTGATGGCAATTCAGAATCATGGACATGCTATCAAGAACGTTTAGAGCAGTACTTTTTAGTAAATGAAATAGACGATGAGAAAAAAGTTCCAGCTTTATTAACTTTACTTGGAGAAAAAACTTACGGGTTACTTCGAAATTTGACATCACCGGACAAACCTTCAACACAGTCGTATGACGATCTTTGTGAATTATTGAATAAACATCTTAACCCAAAGCCATTGATTATAGCTGAACGATTTAGATTTCACAAACGAAACCAAGCGGCGGGTGAAAGTGTAAATGATTATGTAACTACACTGAGGAAATTGGCAGAACATTGCGATTTCCAAGCCAGCCTAAACGATACGTTATGGGACCGCTTAGTTTGTGGACTTAAAGATGAGCACATACAGCATAAACTATTGTCGATGGAAGACTTAAGTTTAAAGAAGGCTGTTGAAACAGCGGTTGCTATGGAAACAGCAACGAGGGACGCCGCAGAACTTCAGTCGTTGACCGCAAGTGTAAATAAGGTTGAGAAAAGGAAACCTTCGAGAAGAGTTAAACACAGGCCACGGCAAAAACCGGCGACCGCAAACTCGACCGGGAAACAATACGGAAAATGCATTCACTGTGGTAAAGATAATCATGCATCTTTCAAATGCCGATTTAAGAATGCCATTTGCCATGCATGTAATGCACATGGACACATAAAAAGTATTTGTCTGAAATCACGTGCACGAGACGTACATGCCATGAACAACGACGACGTTCCTGTGATGAGTATAAATTCTGTGGCCAAAGGTTCGAGCAGGAAAATCACCATCACACCAGAAATAGACGACAGACCTATACAAATGGAAGTCGATACGGGCTCAGCTGTTTCTCTGATGTCAAGAGAAGAGTTCCAGAAGTGTTTTGGAAATGTTACATTGGATAAGCCCACATCAGTGTTAAAGACATATTCTGGTGAAGAAATACAGCAAGCCGGAACAAAACTGGTAAATGTAAGATACAATGGACTGTCAAAATCGCTGAAACTGTGTATTGTCATGGGCAACAGTCCCGCATTGTTTGGACGGGACTGGATGAATGAAATTGTATTGGACTGGTCACGTATTGTACATGTGAATTCAATTGATGATCACTCAACACAAACACGTATAACCGATATTATGAAGCGATATGAGTCAGTGTTTTCCGACGGTATCGGGAAAGTTAAAGATATTAAAGCAACGCTATCTGTCAAAGAGAATGCTTCACCGAAATTCGTAAAAGCTAGGCCAGTACCATATTCGTTAAAGCCGAAAATAGAAAAGGAATTAGACATCCTAGAAGAACAGGGCATTATTACGAAAGTGAATACATCAGAATGGGCTACACCTATTGTGCCCGTTGTTAAATCTTCGGGAGGAGTTAGAATTTGTGGAGATTTCAAAGTCACCGTAAATCAAGTTATAAATGTAGATAAATACCCACTTCCGAGAATAGAGGGCATTTTCGCGAATTTGGCAAATGGAAAGAAATATTCAAAGTTGGATTTACGCCAAGCATATCTTCAATTGGAGTGCGATGACAAAACAAAAGAAATGTTAACGATTAACACTCACAAAGGTCTATATTCTTATAATAGATTGACATATGGAGTATCATCAGCACCTGCAATATGGCAATTAAAGAACAATTGATCAAATTCTTCAAGGAATACCAGGAGTACAGTGCATTCTCGATGATATGGTCATTACAGGAGAAAATGATCAAGCTCACCTAAATAACTTAGAAACAGTAGTGCAACGGTTGTCAAAATATGGTTTAAAAGTGAATAAAGAAAAATGTCAGTTCTTTCAAGAGAGGATTACATATTGTGGTCATGAAATTGATGAAAACGGTCTGTGGAAATGTAATGATAAGGTGGATTCTATTTTAAATACACCACGTCCACAAAATGTCACATCTCTCAGGGCATATCTCGGATTACTAAATTACTATCATAGGTTCTTAAATAACCTAGCCACGGTAATTAAACCGCTTAATCAACTGCTAGAAAAGGGGCGTAAGTTTGTTTGGACTAAAGAATGTCAAAACGCGTTTGTGCATTCATTTGGAGCCAAATATGACAATTGAAACCTTCTTTTAGGTGTTTTACCATGTAAATCACCTCTTTAGACCAAAATGTACTTGGAATGAAAAGTATTTGTGTATTTTCTTCACATTTAGGTAGCCAGAAACTAGAATTTATGCACTTATCTAAGTTTCTAAATAAATAAAGGGAGGTAATTCACTGAAGTGGTGCATAATCACCCACTTTGTGTACATTTATCTATCTAAATAAGTGCTTTTTCTGTTTATAGACACATCAGAAACACTAAAGCTGTTTTATAATTGTGCCTAATATGATTTGGAAAAAGTAGATCAACTTTTACTTATCAATAAAACTTTTCTACAAAATAATTCTACCCTTGGCCATTATGATGCTCATTCATATATGCATTAAACAGACATAAAGTCTAAAACCTATGGCATTATAAATTGTGAATGTGTAAATATTTATTACCAAATAGTTTCAAACAATAAATTCTTATCACTATTTTGCATCTAAAACACATAATAGGAGGCTCTTCAGAGGCAACCTAACTGAATTATGCTACATTTTCAATGCATTTCCATTTCTAAGTATGTGTTGAAATTCATGCCCTGAAACCAAGTCAATTTTAAGTCAGAAGCCTTAAAATGATATCTATATGAAGCTTTTTTGCTATCTATGCCTGTAAATGAAACACATAACATTCTTATATGGGAAACAGACATAGAAGCAATTTATTTGTTACATTCTATGTAAATATTTGAGCAAAATGGAAAAAATTAGTGCCGAGCGAAGAAATTTCCGCCCTTAAACAAAGTAAAAAAGTTAACGGAAACACCACCCTAAACTATTTTTAGTATTAATATATTAGTTTTGAACCTAACAATATGCATTGGTAGTGATATACCTGCCACACCAATCAAAAGTGGCCAATGTGCTTACATCAAGTCCTGTCAAGTTATATATGAAGTCTTCATACCTGGCATGTGTATAGCCAATGTATAGCATTTCTTTGAAATCTGAAAAAAAAATTTGTTAATGACCAAGGTCTTCATTATTTATCATCAACATGTCACCAATCGATTTTCACTCAAATTCACTGTTTAAAGAAAATAAAAACCATTATTAACTGTTAAGTAACACCAATACTCTTGTTCATTTGCATACAATGCTGGGCGTGAAAGTTAGTTTGCACAATATTATGACAGTACCGTCCATGAACAGGCTCATGTTGGGCTTTCTTTAGGGATTCTTACTATCTCTATTTTGTAGATTGACACCCTTGACATATTATCTACTGTAAACACCAACAGTTGCATTGAAATAATAAAATTTCATACCTATAAAGGCTGTATACATCCATTCTTCCAAAATATCAGCTTTTCATGGTGTAATTGATGACAATGTACTACAAATGAATTATGACAGTTCAAACGTCCCTCTCTTTAGGTCAGACACTCACATTGATATTTCCATAATCTTACATGATAAGAAATGGTCCCTAATCCTACCTTAAAATTGAGTTTTCATGCTAAAGAGATGATTTACCTAGCAGAATGAAATGCCTGACACATATAAATGTTCCTGTTATATAGGGGTAGCCAACCAAATTTTTTTGCAAAATGACCTTAAAGAGGATTACCTCCATTTCATTGAAATTTCTTTGCTGATCACAGGACTGACATACACTTTTTATGTTTTTATAAATGCAAATATTCAAGTCAAAATTATCATAGAGACTCATGAAATATTTCATTTTCTTCAGAAAACAATGTAGTGTTACTTTCTTAATTAGTTTTTATACATAAAAATACCCCATTTTCATCCAATCACCTCATGTATAAATTGAATAATACGGTTTTCCCTGCTTTTTTTTCAGCCAATCGCTGGCCATGTTACAATGCGGTAGCCTGACCTAATGCGAGTGTCTAAATATTAACGTTTATCCTGCAATACAATAGATCATATATCAATAATGAAAATAAATACCGATTTAACATATAAAATAAAAGTTTAATGATTGTACTTCATGTTACTATGCAGCACTTCAACTTCTTATAAATCTGGAAACAAAGTGATCCCTCGGAAGCGTTAATCATGAAAACTGCAGACTCAGTTTAAAACTGGGCCTACATCTAGAGTGGTGGCTTCCAATGATTTACTTCACATAATGGCCATGCGTGGATATACGATTTAGTGTGTCCAAGACGACTTACAATTGTAACAATTTGATATTATTGGGTGCGAATCTTGAAGTGACATATTATGACCATCCAAAGGTAGTGAGCAGAGACACATCGTATAAAGTGTCTCTGATATTGAGTGAACGATGAAAGTAAAAATAACTTTTCTTTTGCTAGAATTCATTTTAATTTAATAATTTTCTTCGCCTAAACAATGAATAACGCACGGTTCCAAACGAAATTTCTGTAAATATTCGTTAGAAATAACGTGTATCGTTCTGTCTATGAATAGCTAGAGTGGGCAGTCTCTTATATTTTTTAGGCAGATTGTAGGTCCGCACCAATTTATAAGTAATTAAGTCTTTTGAAATAAAAAGACGACTCAGCTCAACTTGCATGTAAAGATATGAGCTTAATGTCACTCTTACACTTTAAAAAAGGAATCTAAACATTAGACTACAATAACTATTCTGGAGGACCGTATCAGCGCTGAGTACATTCTATGAAATATTGTACTCGACGGGAACTATTCAATGAACAGGTAGACTGTACAAACAAAACTATATACAGTTGGCATTTGATGAAAGTAAAAGATGATTAGCTTGTGGCAATGCCTTAATTGCCTGTTGTATTGCTGCTGGCTTATAAATGCAGTTGACTTACTTTCTATGAAGCATATGAGCTCTCTTGTCTGACTAGCTTATATTGTTACTAAATTTTTTATGTTCCGAGCAAGAGATATCTGTCGTGATTTCAATTCATAGTAGCTTTGTTGACAGTCTAAAAAGGTTGATTGTGCAAGTTATATTGGTTTAAAAAAGTTTCTTAGACACGTTGTATAGCCAAAAAGGAAAGTGGCTGTTATAAACGTATTGCGTATTGAGACATAGTTCGTTCCAGCAACGGACGTCCTTAATTCGTTCCATTCTCGATAGAAGAAACAGATACCACAAACAATGATTGTTTCAAAATAGATAACCCCTATTGATTTTGGGGTCACAAGGTCAAAGGTAAAGGTCACAGGGGCCTTGAATGTCAGGATGGTTTCCACTGATTATCTTAAAAAGCATTCATCACAAAGTCTTCATATTTCACATATCATTACTAGTAGATGACCTCTATTTATATTTGGATTACTAGGTCAAAGGTCAAGGTCACAGGGGCCTTAAATGTCAAAATGGTTTCTGCTGATGGTCTTGAAACGTATTGATCACAAAGACGCCATAATTTGAATATTGATTGGTCGTAATAAGTAAATGACCCCTATAGTTTTTTTTGGGTCACTAGATCTAAGGTCAAGGTCACTAAGGCCTGAAATGTCAGAATGGTTTTCGCCCATTATCTTGGTTACAGTTCATCACAAAGTGTTCATATTTCACATATTGATTGATCATAACTAGTAGATGACCCTTATTGAGTTTTGGGTCACTAGGTCAAAGGTCAAGATCAGAGGGGCCTTTAATGGTAATATGATTTCCGCTTATTATCTTGGTTACTTTTTTATCACAAATACTTCATTTTCACATATTGATTGATTATAACTTGTAAATGACCACCTATTGATTTTGGGGTCACCAGGTCAAGATCACGCGGTCTTTAAATGGTAGATGATTTCAGCTCATCATCTTCAAAGATAATTATCACAAAGTCTTCATATTTCATATAGTGATTAATCATAACCAAACAGATGATCTGTATTACTTTTGGGGTCACTAGATCAAAGGTCAAGATCACAGGGGCCTTATATGTCAGAAAGGTTTCCTCTTATTATCTACAAAGTCTTCATATTTCACATACTGATTGGTCATAACTAGCTAGTGACCTCTTTTGTTTTGTGGTCACTATGTCAAAGGTCAAGATCACAGGGTTCTTGAATGTTAGTATGGTTTCCGCTCATTATCTTGAAAGCTATTTATCACAAAGTCTCCATATTTCTAATATTGATTGTTCATAACTATTAGATGACCCCTATTGATTTTGGGTCACTAGTTCAAAGGTTTTGGTCACAGGGGCATTAAATGTCTCATTATCTTGAAATATTTTTATAACGGAGCGTTATCGATAATTGACAGGTTACGCGAATAGAAGATAAAAATGGTATAGGTACCGTTTTAAAACGTTTTAAAACACATTTTTTGGACTAACTTCTTCCAAAATTTAATCACGAATGTGTTCAGAAAATGTTAATAAATCTACTAAGCAAAAAATCTCATTTTAGGTATTTTCAGTGATAATGGACTCCGTTGTCACCTTAAAAAAGTACGATACATGATAAAAACTCAACTGCGGTTGGCCCTAACTACCGATCTCTCGAAAAAAAATGAACGGACGAGCGAACTAAGTTTGACTATCAATTACAGCAAAAGTAGCAAAGTTTCCTCCACTAAGATTACACAAGGGGAAATACTCATCAAACATCGAC